GATGGCAAGGAGGGAGTTTTGAGAGAAGTTGTTTCACCCATAGAGAGATAGCTGGCTAGCAGGGGCATCCTCTCATAGCCGTTTTCGCGCATCGCCTCGATGTTGGCATAACTGGTATGCTGGAACCGATGGATGCATGAGGAAAATGGCCTCTTCCATTCCTTCTCGATCTCAGTATGGAGATCAGGAAGGAAAGGAAGGCTCACCTGAGCTGGAGGGCTATGGCCAGAAAGATAACGTTCATCGAGACGACCTCGCGACGTCACTTCCTTAGTCCGCTTCCACGGCAAGTCACTTTTTTTTTTGCCTCGCCGTGGCGCAATCCATAACTTCCAAGAGCTCATCATATGCAGGGCAGGAGGATTGGGAAGGCTCAGCCTCAGCTTCTTCGCCCTCCTCAGACATTTCCTGCTCTTCCTGGGCTGAACCCAGCAGAGCACTGGCCCCTGGATCAGAAGATGTTAAAGAAATAACATCATCCTCCAGTGGTTTATTCTCGTCCGAGCGCGAGAGGGAAAGCCCCTCTTTAAACTCATCGGCCAGGTCCACCGGCAATCCCCACGAACTCATTCTCCTCCGTGCCTCAGCAACGGGAAGCAGATGGCTGCCCCTCTTTACTCGAAAAAGAGACAAACGAGAGCTTTTTCATTGAAAAACTTTCGCAGTGCACGCAGATTGCCTCCTCAAGGACATCGCGTGTGTGCTCTTCGCCCAAACAAACAACGCATAGAAGATGTGTGCATCCGTGTCATCACTATTTGACACCCGATGACACGGATGCACACATCTTCTAAACGCTTTGCTAGTGCTCGCCATAATGAATGAATATAGATCGCTCTTACCACGGAAATGCACGCTTCAAACAAAACAGTCAGTGAAGACGAAGAAGAGAATGATGTGTTCTCCCGGCACCTATTTATACTATAGTCGCACCGGTAGTGACGTCATGGCTATCGCCGGCCAACGTGTTGTTGGTGTTTTTTTCAATGTATGCTTCAGACACAAGTCACGACGAGGCGTTCCCCCATAGCGACCCCTAGAGGACGCAGTTCGAAGTTCCCATGAAAGGGAACTGCACCTGTGATGGGCTGTTTCCATGTTCTTTGGCAAGCCAAGCAGTAATTGAAATGTTATTGCCAATCTCCCCCTTTCATCTTTTCTTCTCTCCACCTTCTCTCAAGGACAAAGGAGCTACATTGCTGTCCATTTACGCTCTGAAAAGCTCTCAATAAAGATACTATTATTTTTTTGTGTGACAAGCAAACAAAAAAGAAACTTTCTGCCTCATGGCCATGTTTTTGCATTATTAACTTTTATTTTTTTTGTATTATGTATTATTATTGATTAAATTTTCTGTTTTTTCGCTCCTCATAAATTCGCAACACACATTGTTCCGTCTGTATTTAGGATCAGCATGTAATAGGATGGTTTATTTGATTAAAAATACAAAATCCAGATGATCAGTGATAAAAAAAATATATATATATTTTAAAGTGTTTTGCTAATATTGCAAAACTAACATTAAGATTAGAGATTAATGTTCCATATTCAATCTTCACATGGCCCCACACTATTGCTCCAAAATGCATGCTGTTTAAACAACAAAAGGAGACATCTAAGCTCTTTTTGTTGTTGAACCCTGGCGAGACCGACCAAATGAACATCGCCCAAATGAACAACTACAGTATTAGATCTAGAAGACTTAATGATATAAGGTCATTTTTGGTCTTATTCCTGTGTAAAAGTCCTTTCCAGTGTCCTTAATTCCAACAAGGGATTACAATCTAAAGACACTGTGGATTATCAATATCAACTGAGCTCCGCTGTAATACGGTCCAAGTGAAATGGCACACACAAATCCATGGCCTAATTTTTACACTTGCTTATTTGCTGTAATTCTAATCTGACGCAGAGCACTCTGATGGTTTGTGCTTTGAGCAGTGCCTCTGACCTTGCTGTTGACAGCAGATGAGTTTATTTCTATGTGAAGATGATAACAACAAAACAGTAAATTCTTTGGATTAACTCCCTTTGTTCTTGTTTTCCCTTCTTAGCTTCCCTTTCTCTGCTGGACTGTCTTTCATGAATCACATATTACTTTAATTTCACTCAAATGCTTTTAGTAGGATATGTTATGAAATTTTTTTATTTTAATTTATATATTTAATTATTATATATTTTAATAAATAGATGCATTTGGAATAAGTCTGTAGCTTAGACCACAGGAGTGAAAAATGCAAATACACAAAATAAAAAAACACATATTTATCTACTCATATGCACCTAAGAATCATTGATCATTTATGACACAAATTCCCACTTTAACATTAAGAGCAGTGTGTTGTTGTGTTTTTTTATTTACATGAAAAGTCTGTTTTATGATTGTTAAACTATGAAAACTCTCAGTACATCAGAGTTTTATCAAATAAATATATTTTGCTGGGAACTACTGAAACACCATATTGTCATTTTATTGCAAAGCTGTATAAAAAAATGTGAAGACAGTATGCACGATTGTGACAATATGGTTTAAGTGTGTTTTTCAAGTCATCTCCAGGTAATAAAGTATCTGAATAACACAGTGCCAATCGACATAGCATTTTTACAGTATAACCTATAGAAACTATAAAATATATTTTCTGCCTTATTCTGTGATAAAAAATAGAAACCTGTCAATTAGACCCAAAAAAAAGGTATTTTTACATTTGACATTTCTGTCCCCCTCACTTCTGAAATGATGGCTATGCCCCTGAATGTATATGTTCTTTGTTTGATTTCCTCAACTGGAAGGTTGACTTTGGAATGTTCTAATTGTAAATGTGTTTCTTCTATATAGGCCTACATATAATAAACATAATGTTCACACATCATATTCTATCCCATTGAATAGCACAGTGACATGTTTATATAGTCAGCTTGGCACTGCATATGTGCAGGCATGCATATGTGAATTAATTTTGGACTCTCTCACTTGCTTGGCAATCTGCTTCCACTTATGTGAGGCTGCATAATCAGAATGGTGAACAAATCAGGGGGCTTGACTCCTCAGTTTCCAGTTTCCATAGGCACCCACTAATGCAGAAAAATTAAAGTGCACTTATTACTGAGAATTAAAGTGTAATTATTACTGATGCATATGGCTGACCACCCCGTGTTAATAAGTGCTATTTGTGTGTATTAAAATACAGATGCTGTATTTCTGTCAATGCATTTGTGCATGATTAACTACATCCATGACATTGCACTTTAATTAAATAGTAGAACAAACGTGAAAATCCATCTATTTTTAGTCATTATTATTTTGACTACACTGATCATGAGCACCTTATCACGATTTTATTTCAAAGGTTAGCTGATGCCACCTAGTGACAATGTTGTGGCAAATGCTAAATGCTATGCCTCTAAACAGTCTTTTTTAATAATTGATTTTATTATGTATAATTATAATTTTTCTAATAATAAATTAGGTGAAATGCATGCTGTGAAAAAATTAAAAATATGAAATGAATACAATCAAATAGGATCAGGCATTTAATTTTGTATGCTTTACATCAAATATTTTTTTTTGCCTGCTATTTTTTTCTTATTGCGCCATTATTGAATTAAATAACTGTGCTAATAATAATAATAGAGAAAACTGATTGATAGTGAATATATATTCTAGCTTTCCATCAGATAAAAAGAATTGTCATTTCTTTTCTCCATAATTTGAATGTTATGTTGAGTGGTCAGGGTCAGAAAGATGGTTTAATGTAACACAATGCGAAAATAAATAACTAACTGAATGCAACAGTGTTATAATGAATAGTTGTTTACAGGGGCATTTAATGACATGAGGGCAAGTGAAAAAAAGCCATAATGGTCTGGGGGCAGAATAATACAGCATCCACTTCTCATTTGCTCAGGAGACATGGAGAGGAAGGTCACTGCATGCTAGACTGAGTGCAGGGCATGCTATTGTTGCTGTTGTTTCTTCTATCCTGGTTTTTCATTAATTTGTGACCAGGCTAGCTTTCCTTTCTTTTTTCAGATTTCAGATTTCTTTCATAAGTGAAATCTACACTGTACTAATAACAACCAGAAAACATTTTCAGCGTTACATATAATGAGATTGAGCGAATAGTATGCATATTTGGCGTGCTGTCCGAGGAGTGAGGAGTTGGGGCGGAGGAGGGATGCCAGAAAAACAGAGGTGGGACTAGCTGAGGTAAGTTAGCTGTATATACTGTATATTTACTATCATGCTAATCATGCGCCGCCTGTGCTGAATTAGTTGCTCCACAAAAACTTTGTTAATAAAACATAATTTTAAGCACACTGAACTGTGACTGTCTGTAAAACGCAATGTGACACAATGAAGAACTAAAATATTTATGTGATAGCAAAAACTAAGAAAAAAGAAAATATGTCTCTTAAAAGCTATGGATAATTTCTAATTATGAGAAATATGCCTATATATTCCTACAGTATATTCCACAATAATTGTAGATTTGTCACTGAAGAGGACAGAGCTGTTTTCTCATTCTAAATAGCTATAATAACTTTGAAATTAGGCAGAAGTTGGTTGTTTTTTATGCTAATTTAATTGCAATTCACTTTTATTTGCACAGTAAATGAAATGCAACATCTAGGCCTATTTATCATGTATGTAACATCTGTAATAGAAAATGTATGGTTTAGTGCATATATATGCTGAACCCACTGTCTGTGGACTAAGCAAGACAGCAATGAAAGTCGTAAACGGAATAAAAGAAGAGTAAATAAATAAAGAAGTAAAGAAGAGGCACATTTATGTTTTTTAAAGATTTTTTTTAACCTGAAATAGGTCTTCAGCCCCTGCTGTAGTTACCTCTGAAACCACAAGGTGACCCTATTTCCTAAAAAAAACAAAACGAATAAACCCAATGACTACGCACTAAGAGTCGAGTGTAACTTTCAGTACAATGCTCAGATCCACCTTTAGTAGGCTAAATTACAGGTGTGGCGGCTGCGTAAACTACTTTTTACTGAAATTGATTTTAAATTGAATCTCGATTCAATCCACAGAGCGCGTTTATTCCCTCATACGTTTCCAACAATTCCCCATCTTAATTTGTTATCAGGTGCCGAAAGCATTATTGTATGTCCACTTCCAGCTCTGTGTGTTTAAATGCTGCGTGCCACTATGAGCTCCAGACACGGTGACGTCAGCGCCGAAACACTGAGCTAAACAAGCGATTTTCAGCAGCGCGCGCCTCTGCAGGAGCACTCGGCCTGCCCAAACCACTTCTGATAGTTACCCAGCGTTTGATCCGAGGACTTGAACAGTGCTCTGCCTGCTTTTCTTCTGTCAGTGACCGCGCCTCTCTGAAGAGCATCGCACACAGACGGAACGCTCAAAAATGTCTATGAAGCCGGAGGCAGATTCGGAGGGCAGCTGGTACGAGGACGATTTTGAGAAGATTGACCGCTTTGGAAGTACCACCACCACCAGGCGTGGCGACTTGGGAGTGGAACGGCAAATGAGAGACTGGGAGGACGAGTCAAGTGAAGAGAAACAGTTCTCCAGCCATCCCGAAAGCGACCGGCAACCGCTCCCCGTTGCCATGGAAACTGCTTCCACAGGTAAGATGGTTTTGATGTACATCGTCATATATGCAATGCTTTAACTTCTCTGTCGACCGGGGCCTGGTTATCAGGTAGCAGTAACCTTGGCTTATTGGATCGCCCTGTCTGCAGTGGAAGTTTAATTGAAATACGGGATGGACATCGTAAGAAATGTAATTCAAATTGAATACAAAACAGATCAAATATAACAGTAAGGAAATACATTTCTTTATTTTACAAGGTGTGTTTACACAGACTTCTTAGAGGTGGCATAAAGGTTCTTTTCTAAATATATATTGTAATAAAATGAATAATAAACACTGATCATAAAAAATATACACATTGAAAAAATATTTTATACACAATATTGTATTGTAAGAAATATTATATACACATTATAAAATAATGTCTTACACACATTTGTATATCTTTAATTACACGTTGTATGAACAACCATATCAGTATTTGATTTAAGTGGACAAGCAAGGGTGACAGCTCTTAGTTGATTTCGGGTCTGACATGACTAAAGTAATAATTTCCGGTTCAGTAAATATATCTGTTTAATTTAGAGACTGGTCCAGCTGATTCATATGTGTTTTTGATTCTAAAAGTTGCTTTGTGACAGTTGAGTGAGTCATTGAATCATCAACCGATTAATTTATAACACAGATTCATCCAGGAAGTAAACAACATATAGCCTATATATTTGTAATATAATACAAATTTGTATTCTATTTATATATTATTCATATATTATTATTTATATTTGCATAATTGATTATTTATATTTGTATTCTGTTTACATATTATTAATATAATATTATTTATATATTATTATAAAATGTATGCATTTATTCACCAAAATAATGTGCTAAATATTCACATTAGTATTATAAAAATAAGTACTATATTTATCCAATATCACAAAGTTTATATTCACATCTGAGACCTATTTACTTTTGTTTAAACGCTACTTTTAAAAAAACTGCTTTTATTCACTTTGATAAGTACTATATTTATCCAATATTACAGTTTATATTCACATCTGAGACCTATTTACTTTTGTTTAAACGCTACTTTTAAAAAAACTGCTTTTATTCACTTTGATAAGTACTATATTTATCCAATATTACAGTTTATATTCACATCTGAGACCTATTTACTTTTGTTTAAACGCTACTTTTAAAAAAACTGCTTTTATTTACTATGATTTATAGAATTACACATTACAATACCATAAAAAACTGCAAATGATTTTGTACTGTGTTAGTGAGATGTTGTATAACTCAATCTCTTTCCTCTTCAACTGCTGGTTCTTTATCTTTGTTGTCATTATTTTCGTTTTACCAGACACTTTACAGTAACCTTTACAGGTCGTTTACTGCTTAGTGATCAATACTTGACATTGCCATTTGAACATCTCACAGACTTGGATTGAAACTCTGAGTTTTATGACATTATGCTACTAGGTAGAAGAGAAGCCCTATGAAGGACCGACAGAGCTTTTCAGACTATAGTCTTTCGTCATGTAGTCATTTTTTTTCTCTTTGTGGGATGAGATTGTAGCTCCATTTCTATAAAGCACATGCCAAAATTAGTCTTTACAACTGGACAAAAATATAAGAGATAAGTAATGGTAATACTATATGCAAAAAGAAGCTTTTTCAGGTTTGCACGTCTCTTAAACCTTCAGATCTTTGTTATGAAACTAGAAAAGCGTTTTCTTTTTCAATTGTAGTTTTTGACAGGTCTGCCTTTCTGTGTTTGTTGTATCTTAATGCTGTACACTCTAAAAAAAGAGTGTAGACTTGTGAGTGAGAGTGATATTATATAATAGTCTTTCTTGTGGGTATCAGAAAGATGGAGCGTTTATCATTGAGTAACAAACAAATAACCTAATTGTGAGCTATAAAACCTGTAAGCTAATGTGGAAATGGTATTAGTTGATGGGGGAAAAATAAATCAAATCATCACATAGTGCAGGAGTAAAACAGCAATAAAAAGGGTTTCAACTCCAGTCCAAGCTCTTTGCTTTTGATGAACCAAACAACAGGACATTTGGAACATTTTCAATACCCTTTTTAATATCAGACTTCTTGTGCAGATTCAGGACTGCTGGATGTTAGGTTTGGTTATGTTTCCTGTGGCCACCGTGAAATTGTTGTAACCTATGCATGTAAACACTAAAGCACTGATAATTGAGCTCAAATTAGAAACTTGGTAAGTTTAAAGATGCATCATGAGTCACACAAAATTTGTAGAAGTTTTGTGTGTGTCTAAATCACCAGGCTGACGTTAACAAGCGAATGAAAATCAGAGTAAAATCCTCTTATCAGACTGAATCTCTCATTAGCTGATTGACAGCCTATATACTCCAGTGCTTATTGAACCACAATACTGACTCTTAGAGGATGTGATATTTGGCCTTTTAATAACCAGTCATTGGATCACATTTACAGCACATTGTTACACCTTTTTAATGTTGATATTAACATGAATTTATTTGGGTGTTGGAGTTTAGCCATACCTGAAAGTTTCCTCCAGTGCTCATATAACATTTTTCTCTACAAACATCTCGCATGTTCCTTGACTTTCTGGCAACACTGTTTGATTTAAGGCATATAATGAGTAATTATATATCATGTTTAGGTTGGGTACTGGAAATACCCCACTGTGTTGTCTTCAGTAGTACCACGATCAGAAATCAGAAAGCCTTTTTTAGTTGTATACAGACAGGCAGTTCATTGTTTTTAGTGTCTTCGCTTCAGTGAACCGTGATTCATTAGGGACTCTGGAATGCAAGTTCACTTTCTACTTTACACACATACAGAAAGTGTTGTTGGTTGCAGAATATCACATGGGCATCAAAAAGTACTAAGAAACATAACAAGATTAAAATAATCAGTTTCCCTTTGTGGTAACACATTCGCCTCATTAGCCCCCTGACTCAGCACTTGCTGCCATGAGTTTAAAATGCTTGTATAGTTCAGAAACTACTTTCTATATACTGATATTTTATAATAAAGTTATTCAACCACATTATATTTCATTTGAAAAATTTTACTTTATACTGTGTCTAAACAAGTGTCTAAACAACATCTAAACAAGACACGTTTACTTGAGAAGCAAAATGGCATCGTAATATGCTTAAAACAAGAAAAAAAACTTGTTTTTTCCATATAATAATACTGACTATAAGTATAAGAAAATAAAAAAGGTATAAAATTTTTTGTTTTATAGTTTTCATATTTATTCTTTACTTTTGTTTTTATCTTTTAGCAAGCATTATGGGATAATTTTAACACGTAGCAAAAATACTAGAAATAATCTTGATGGCCAAGCATAAAGTGTGCATAGACAATGTACTGTTTGTTGTGATGAATGAATCTCAATGCAAAAAGCATATTGCATCACAGACTAAAGCGATTATGTAAAAGCTCTAAACATATGCTCATTTGTCCAGCCTTATGAGAAAGACAGATTACTGTCTTCTTTTCCCTGACAGATTGTTCTCCATGGCAATTGACCCTAGTGATGCAGAGAAAATAATGGTTATATTTAAAAGAAAAAATCTCAGAAAATGAATTTACAAACTAAGTGGACTACAGAAGCTGCTGATTTTTTAAAACCATTGTTGATGGTTGGGGTCACTATATTTTGCATTAAATGATATACAATTAATACATTGTTCCATAAATATTAAGTTAGTTCACAGACATTACCATGCTCTATTCAATAAAATTTCTGAATTTTTTACAAGTTCAATTTTCTCAAAACACACTATTCCAACAGACTTTGGCATGCTGGAACAGTTGGTTTTCAGGTACAAGAGAAGTACCTCTAACAGCTGCCTCTGGCTCGCCATCTGCATCTGTTCTGATGAAGAAGTAAATCCGGTGCAGTCATACATATGCACACAAAGTAACCTGCAGTGTGTGCCTACAGTGACTTGAAGTTGGCACCAAGTCCTCATCACAAACCTGTCAGTGGCATCCTGCTCTTCTCTTCAGCTTATCTGTCAGACGTACTGTTCTGCAGAGATATGCTGGTGGCACAACAGAGATGGGTATCTAAAATAAAGCTCATCTTAGTGCCTTAGAGAGCTTTTTTGTAAATAAATAAATAAATATGAAATTTTGGGACATAATTATGCTGCTTTGAAACATAACCCCTGTCACTTTTTATCACTCTTGTTTCTGTTGCAGTGTGGCTTCATCAGTGTCTTCCTGTGAAGGATGTCAGTAGCCCTGCTCTTAGTATTATTTATTGACCCGTTAGCTGACTTTTCTTTCTTTCTTCTACTTAGTTAATCCATTAGCTACATGCAACACTAGGCATGTTACATTTGTGCAATGGTGACACGTCTGCTGTGTTGTAGGTCTTAGATCTATTGATTAACTCATACTGTGGATCCTGCTAATTCTCTTCTAAGTTCTTTAGGTTTAAGCAGAGGAGTGATTAGCTTTAGTGCATTAGTGTTAGCGCCATGGATAATGACTAACTCTTACCTAACACATTGCCAGAACATGAGCTTTACTCTGAGCTCCAGGGTCAGTGCCAACAATGCAATAAAAACAGACACACCCATCCACTCACACAGCCAGTATGTGACCATTTAGAAATATTGTGATGGCCAAAACATTTTTTTTATCTGTCTTTCTCATATAATTCAGTCACGCAGGGTTGTTTTAAATGTTTTTGTTCATTCTCTGCTGCCATCTGAGCTGTTTGTTGACACCAGGTGAAGCTGAAGACATCCCTCATACAAAGCTTGTTTAATGAAAGGCTTAGCATTTCACCTGAACCAGGTGTGGTTTTCCACATCATCCATATTTTGTACTGGAATGCTTGCTGTGCTAATCTAGGTTGTTCAAGTAGTATGTCTTTCTGCCCTTGCACTGTAAAAAATGTTATGTGCTATGCTATCTACTTTTTAAAAAATATGGTAACAATATTACACAATATTTCTGAGTAGTTTTTAAGGCTTGATTTCTTTAATGGAATTTACCTGAATAAATCATGTAAAATCTCCTAAATTATTTAATCTATGACACAATTAATTGAATATTATTAGTGAAATGTGCTCATTTATTTTAAGTGGATTCTCAAAAGTCTGTGATTTTGAGTAAGGCCTGTTTGTATTTGACTTTGAATTATCTTGTACAATTAAAAGACTGTATACAGCAAGACAGCTCAAGTAGGAAAAAATTTGTAACTGCACTGGCATTAGCAAAGCTAATAATAATAATGTCAAACATAACTGAACATTAAACATTAACAGATGTTTCCCTTCACACAAAAACACATAAAATAGCACTAAATATACACACTATTTTTTAATTATCACCTTAATTGTTTAAATGAAAATTACAAGACCCGTGATTCATTTTTTTACGGTGTGGCTTAGTAAATATATACCCAATTACAATGGCTTGAATGCAGCTTTCTTTCCTTTTTTTGACATATTTCCTTTTGAAACAGGAAGCTGACTTTATTTATTGTTTTTTTGTGTGTGTGTTTGAACTGTTCCAGAGTTAGTACGATTTTTTTATTAGAAATTTTTATTCAAAAAGATTGCATTAAATTTATGAAAAGTGACAGTAAAGGCTTGTACATTATTACAAAAGTTTTCTATTTTGAATAAATGCTGTTCTTTTGAACTTACATCAAAAATATCCTGAAAAAAGTAGCATGGTTTCCATAAAAATACTAAGCAGCACAACTGTTTTCAATATTGATAATAATAAGAAATGTTTTCAAGCAGCAAATCAGCATATGAGAATGATTTCTGAAGGATCATGTGACACTGAAGACTGGAGTAATGATGCTGAAAATTCAGCTTTACCATCACAGGAATGAATTACATTTAAAATATATTAAAATAGAAAACAGTTCATTTTTTATTGTAATAATATTTCACAGTATTACAGTTTTACTCCATTTTTGATCATATAAATGCAGCCTTAGTGAGTGTAAGACTCTTCTTTCAAAAACATTAAAAAAATTACTAACAACAAAAAACTTATGAACAGTAAAAATTTATCATCAGTATGTGACTATTTTAAATTTTTTTATGTTTTACTCTGTGGCAGAAACTGCAATAAAAGAAAAATACAAGAGACAGATTTATTTATGTATATAGTTAAAAGCTAGTTTTAAACTTTTATCAGTACACGATCATACAGATGTCCAAGCTAACAGAAAGGACAAATGCCACAAAACTTCGATTTTGATTTCATGGAGTCTTTAAAAGTATAATATCCTTGTCAGAAGATCACACTGGACAACACTGTAGTATATGACTAGTTTAGAACAGAAAGAAAACATTTGCTTAAATTATACAAGTTAGAGAATTACCAGTGTAGTAGGATTTGGTAGAAGCAACAACTTGTATATGCCGGTTTTTCGAAATCTAAGCAGTCTTTTTTTCAGGTGAAAGACAATTTAGTAACGGACTCTAAATGAAAGATCAGCACTTAAGGCCACCATGAGTTCTCGCTATTGCTGTGTTTTTGAGAGGATGAGTCATAGCTTGCACGCTGCTTAAATGTTGACGGTGAGAGGTGTGGGCTGGAGATTGTGTGGTGCGAACACTGACGCACATGCTGGATTGTCCGTCACATACAGAAACATTTCTGTGACAGTCACTGAGATGATCCTGTTGCTATATGGGTGCAGGTACTTAAGGTTATCAGTTAGCAGTGTAATAAAGAAGGTTGTGAGTTGATGTGGTTTTTGTTTTTGATGTATCAGGGGCTCTCTTCTCTCTCTGCACTTTTTTTTCATAGATCCTCACACTTCTTAGCTACTGATGGTTAAAAATAGAGTCCCAGTGGAGTCAGTTTGCCCAGTGAATGTAGGGCAGTACAGAGACAGAGATGGAGTGATGTTAGTATGGCGATTTACACAAGCCATGCAAATATCCACAGTTACACATCTGCGGTGTGGCGGGAAACACACCTGATGCTGAAAGTGGAAAAAAAAAGTGTTATATAAAATAAAATTGGGAGTTCGAGCTAAAAACTGAACAAAAACTATACTTTGAAGGTAGTTTGTTAATGTTATTTAAGTGTGCTGCAGTTTATTTTATTGGATTCATTATAGGTAGATGGTACAATGTGTGGTGCTATTATGAGGGAAACTAAAAATTAACCTAATGAAATTAAGTAATTTTCAGAACAAACAACTGGATTAAAACTAACTGAAATAAGACAGATATTGAAAACAAAAATATAAAACAAAATAATACACACTTGCCCGCTCATCCATCCATCTCCTGACCTCTCTCCTCACCCATTCACTTATAGCACTACAGTCACTAAAATCATAACTTCACAGGCTAGAATGGAATATTCTAAGTAAAAATATTAAATACACTAAACTTAATTTTAGATAACAGATGAAAACACTACAGAGACATTTTCTTTTTACACATTTTAAATATCTGGGGTATATTTATCACTTTCAGTAGAATTTTTGCCTCAAGCCTGGATCATTTCTGACCCTGGTCTCTGCACATAAAACATGTGATAGGGATTTTTTTTTTAAACATTTTATGCTGTATTTTAACATTTACAAAATGAAACTTCACATTTCACATGAGGCAGTGAGATACTCGGGTGTCACCACCAGTCTGCTAATGTTCTGATCCCTGTGTGAGTGTGTGTGTGTGTGTTTGTGCTTCTCGAGCCCTTTTGTGACACCATTGCAGTCAACCTTCGTATAAACATTGAACTGGAAAACTGTCATTTGCCACAAATAGCTGCAGTAATAGAGAAAAGGACAGAGAGACAAGGAGGAGTGGCCAATGTGATGAGAAGGACTTAGAGACAAGGAGAATTGGTGTGGAGGGGGCTGTGATGGTGCCGTCACTTACTGCTGATGAGAGCTGTCACTGCCATATACCAATAAAGCCCTCTTGAGGACACTTCAGAAAAATTACCACCTGAATCACACACACACACACACACACACATATGTATTCTCTTTCTAGCATCCAAATTTCACAAACAACACATGCACACAGTCGAATTCACCCCAAGGTCACTTGATGTAAGAAGCTTTGTGAGGTACAGCATGCCGTTATAGATCAGATCAAACTGCTGCTCTGGTGTGCAGCTCTCATCTAGGATGCTGTATTTATTTAACAATATAATACAACTGCAAAAGGACAGTACAACAACGTATAATCATATTAGTAGAGACATAAAATATGGCTTATAAAAATATGCAAACAAATACAAATATGAATATATAATCCATTGTATTTAAGACGAGTAATATGAAATACAGTTAGAGGAAATTTTAAATAAAAAGACAACAATTAAATTAAGTATTAATTGAGCTCAACAAAAACCTCCCTTTTACATGGTCATGTAAAAATATGAGATGGGAGGAAAAATAGTTGTATTGCTTTTGTGTTCCTTCTCAATAATGTTTCACGACAAACTTTTGCATTCTTTTTCTTTTTCTTTCCGAAAAATATTGCATTCTCAGGGAAACTATGCATTAGTTTCCATTTTTTTCCCCATTTGTTCTCTAGTTTTGTGAATGCAAAAGTTTTGCTAGTGAATGCATATGTGAAGCACACGAAAGCAAAAGTATTGTGTATGAACATAAAATGTTTGCAAGATAACACTAATCACTTTCGAGAGAATGCAAAACATTTTGCAAGAGAATGCTACGTTTTTCTGGGGAATGCAACAGTTTTGTGAGTGATTTATATCAGTTTTTGCTACCATCTTATTTTTTCCCATCACTAAGTCCCTTTATGGGCTCCATAGTGTGATATTGGAAAAGGGTGTAAAACTATAGGGTGTTTTGTTTGATTTGGCTAGATTTGAGTCAGAATAACAACACTAATTTTATAGAATAATCATTGTTTAAACATTGTGCTTTAAGTATGTTAAAATAAGTTATAATTCTTGCTCATGTTCCTCTCTTCTCATGCAGATAAGTCAAACTTCCAGAAGTCATCTACTGATGATAGGGATGACCTGTACACCTCCCTCTTGTCCAATCAAAGCTATGCCTCACATGAAGACACCTCCTACTTTTCTGGCAGTCTGGGCAGATCTGGTGATAAAAATACATCCAGCAGGGAAGACTTCACCTCTGGATCCCATTCCCAGTTGACCTCAGACTCCGGCATCAAGAGAAACACCAGTGCAGACCAGACTGACAGCTCTCACAAGATACATGACTCTGAGAAAGCTTTTGACTCTTCTTACAACTACATGGACATCAGTCGTAAAGAGGACTCCTGTAGCTCACAGCACCCGTTTGAGGAGTGGGGGATGAGTGGCCTCTCACAGCCCACCCAGTACACTAAACTGGAGAAGAGCCCATCACCGGTAGAAGTGGACATTGACGACATCAGCTCTGCTGCAATTCTGGACTCTCAGACCTTTCCATATGTAGAGGAACCATCTGATGAAGAGCTGTCTGATTACCAGCCCTATCGGTCTCCAGGTACCGGCAGTAGTGCCAGCCCAGTAAAAATCACCCTGACAGAAATGACACCTACATCTGCATCGCCCACCACAGTCCAGCACAGCCCTACGTTTACAGTGTCAGAGAAGGAGAGTATTCTGAGTCTGGGGCTGGAGGGAGTGCCAACCGTCACCCTCTCAGAGCCTGAGGATGAAAGCCCTGAGTCATCTACACCCCCTACAGGTGGGCATCACCATCCCACACAAGCTCTTCACTGTAATTTATCCACTACACCACCTTAAATTCCTCTGCTAGCTGACCCTTTGCTCCTGTGTAGGTGTATTTGTCAATTTGAGAACTTTCATACATTTAAATGTATTTCATTTTTTTTGTAAAGTGACATGAGTGAAATAAGCGGTTTTATGATATAAAAAAGACAGATCTGGTGGAAAAAGCAGCGAAACCAGTTCCAAACATTTTTGAAAAGTTCAAGTTAGGACAGAAACGGGTGAGGCACAATGAAGCATCAGTGTAGTAAATGTCAGAGTACCGTTCAAAAGCTCACCACGACAAGACAAAAAATATTTTCAAACTCAATAATTTGGTGATTCTTCAACTTCGGGTACTTCTTTATGCCTTGGGGATTAAGGAGTTTAATTAAAACAAACAGAATTCAGCCTTTTTTTATTACATGAAGCTCACATTGAAACTGTCTTGAAAGGTTGTTATCATGCCTTTATCATTTATTTTGCAACTTTCAAATTACTTTTATGTTTCAATTTTTATAGTTGCAGCTTTATCCCGGGCCCAAAGTGTGTTTGAACAGAGTTGATCTTGTAGAAATCAACCAGGTCAGAAGTGCCCATAGTTGAGGAAACACCCAAGATTTAAAAGCAGCAGCTCAATGACTTTACTGGCTGTACATTATATCTTTTAGTAATATAATAACACACACATGCTTACACTGTGGGATGCCTTGGCACACCAGATGGCCACAAGACACCTTACCTCACTCCTTGTCCTTTATTTCTCCTTCTCTTTCTTTATAGAAGAGTCTGACTCTCCTTTGGATCCAAACATCCAGCCTGGTGAAACTAAAATAATGAGCTCCACCCAAGACAAGACTCAAACATCTCCCATCTCACCCTCTCAACCTACTTCCAAGCAGGACAGTTCCCCAGTGGAGATGAAGTCTTCTCCCCCAAAACCCACCTTGCCTCCTTCCCCCCAGGATGTTGAAGGTAGCAGTACCGAATCTGGCGACTCTGAGATTGAGATGGTGTCTGAAGAGCCTAGTCCACGAGCTCCCAGCACTGGCTACATGAGCTTCAGTAAGAGTCCCAGCACAACTTCGTCTACCACAGTACCTTCCACAGTACCCATCCCATCTTCTACCCCTGCGTTTGCCCTAAGCACTGCAATGCAGTACAGCATCTTGAGGGAGGAACGTGAAGCAGAGCTGGACAGTGAACTGGCTCTGGAGTCCTGTGGAGAGGAAAGTCCCAAAAGATTGACCCACGACTCCACAAAGGGTTTCAAGGAGACCCCACAGCCAGTCAAAAAACCCACAACCCCGACTTCAGCAACTAAAGAACCAATCGTGACTCCCACTGCACCTCCTCCAACCATTCCGGCCCCAACCAGTGCTCCTAAAGAGAAGACATCCACCATGGAAGAGAAGCCCAAACCCAGCAGCACAACCCCCAGCCTAGGCCTGCCAGAGCTGAAGGTGGAGCATCCTGCTGGAGAGGTGCACCAGAAAGAAAGGAGACGGTCCAGTCAAGCCCGCAGGGGCTCTGAGAGAATGACTGCACCACCCATCGTCTTCCAGGGTCTAACCAGGGAGAAAGGTAAGCACGTTCCCCAAAAGCTAATAGTCACCTCAAGACACAAGTTCTGGCGGTCACTATCTTGAGTTATTCCATTTGAGCACAGTTACGGTTGAGCTGCCTGACTCAGTGCGTAATCGAACATTTGAAGGATTAATTAGACATCATCACCTTTCAGAGCAAGTGCAACATCAAGCCAGTTGTAGCCCGATTAAGGTGTGAACATTCTGGATGATGCCGAGCTACAATCGCAATATCTAGGTCTGTTAGTCCAACTTTGCAAAAATCAGACTGTGTAAGCTGTGCTTCATAAATCGCTACACTATTGACAGTAGACAATGGACCTTTTTCCCTCTAAATTGTGCTTAAATGTTGCTGAAAAGGTGACCACACCTTTACTGATCACACCTTTAACTGAAATCAAACTTAATGCATGTACAGTAGAATACATGTAAGTTTATAAATGCTCCTATGGCCCCAATAAATATAAAACTGTCAAACTACTATTTAAATTTGAATCATTCTTTCTTTGTAATTCAAGTCTCACCATCAGGAAATATTTCTCTAAAAGGGACAGTTCAACCAAAAATGAAAATTCTGTCATCATTTACTCACCCTCATGTCGTTCCAACCCTGTTTGCTATCCTTTTTTCTGTGAAACATAACAGATGATGTTCTGAAGATTGTGAGGTTAATTATCCCTTAAAGACTAGAGGCTTAAATACACTGAAATTAAAATAAAAACTGACTCATGCGTATTGGCCTCACCCTGGAAACTCCCTTTGGCTTTAACAGCAGGAAAAAAAAAAAATTTCAATGCATCAGTCCCTTGAGAATCAGTCAATACTGAGCATGCACAGGCTAGCTTTCATCTAATATTTTCCTAATATTATATAAAGGTAGGGTAATTGGTAATGTGAAATTTAATACAATTTCTTTTAGATATCTGTACGTTTGCATGCACTTTGAAAGTAACAGACCTAGATAATGTAATTGTTCAGAATTGATACAAATTATGTTTTATACAAAACATGTGTCATTGCTTTTCTTCGTCATCCAACAACAGTGGTCCAGAGAAATACAGCACAGTGTGAGATGACGTTTCTGATCATCACCAGAGCTCCAGAAGGTCATGCAAATGAAATATCAATTTTACAAGACACATTTCTCACACAATCCCCTGAGCCATTAGATGGGCGGCTAATGTTTTAGATTTTATTTCACACCTGACTGCTCCCTGCATCTGTTGTTTGTTTCTTCAGGATTGAGCAGAGTTCAGTGGAAATATCATGTGTGAAACTGTGAAAAATTATTATGGAAGATCTGGCTGACCTACAGCAGTCTGTGCATGGTAAAACCCTATGATTTATGGAAAGCATTTTCATTCTTTCAGTGATGGGAACATATCCCAGTAGTGAGTAAGGGATTTAAATTCTGAAAAATTGATTATATGACAATGTTACTATGTTTATATGGACCCAATCACCATTTTGCTGTATTTTCACAAATAGAAATTGCTTTAACAATTAGTTTTATAATATATATATACACACACACACACACACACACACATATATATATATGTATATAGTGTATATATAGTTTTAAAATAAAAACAGAAATATTATTTTTTTATTAATTAATTGTTTAATTATTAAACAATTAAAACTTTTAAAAATAAATAAGATAATAATAATATTTTATGTTTTTTTTCAATTATTAATGATAGTTTTGTCTAAATAAATAATTATTGACTGCATTTTATATTAGTAGATGGGTACGTCATTTGTTTGTGTCTTTTGAAGGCAGTCACCATCTTTTATTAATGCTCTAGCTTCAGGCTAGACTGTTGTTTGAAGATTTCAGAACAAAGCATCCCCCTGTGATTCAGGTCAGTTTCTGTCTGCTACATTTGTGACCAGTGAGTGCTGCCTTCTTGTGACACTGCAACATGGGAGGAGAAGGAATTGCACAAATCATATAGTGAGATAAAATGGCTCAGATTTTCATTTCATTTCATAATTCCATTCTTGACAGATGAAATTTTTTTGTATATCTTGGCAAGCGGCTGATAAATCCTCTCATACTAATGTAACTGAAAATTTGACAAAGTCAAATTTCAAATCATGTTTGTCTTATAATCAATTCATTTTCAATCAATGTTTTTTATGATGCTTCTCAGTCAATATATTCCTCTTTACAACCTTGAACTTTGGATAACAGATCGTTTTTACTGTTGGTGCTTGCTGACCAATCAGCCACCAAACCAATGAAACCAATGTTTCTGCAGCGTTCTGCAAATTAGGTATGGTGCTACAGTCTGTGTCTGCCCCCCCCTTTCTTGAGCTCAGTGTCTCACCGGAAGCCTCTGGAAATGAGATGGCTTTTGTTAAGGGCATGCACACATAATGAAGATGGGTATCAAGAAAAATGCTAATTTCTTCCAGCAGAGGGCTCAGTTTACCACATGCTGTCTTTGTCTTGCTGTCAGCCCATAGACTGGATAGGGGTTGTAATGCATTATCAGTATGTGTGCATTTGTATAAATTAGAGATTTATGACTGAGCTGTGAAGGACAACAACTGTGTTTTCTTGTTTGTATGTGTTCCTGTGGTAATTCATTGTGTTTATACTACCGCTTACAACTTTGGGGTTAGTAAGATTCTTTTAATGTTTTTGAAAGAAGTCTCTTATACTCACCAAAGCTGCATATGATCAAAATTTTGAATAATTTTGTAAAATATTACTACAATTGAAAATAACAGTTTTCTATCTAATATATAATGTAATATGTATTATGTAATTTATCCCTGTAATGGCAAAGCTGAATTTTCAGCAGCCATTACTCCAGTCTTCAGCTGTTGCATGATTCTTCAGATATTTCTTTTGATATTTTATGTAAACCTACAAATATTTTTTTCAAGATTCTTTGATTAATAAAAAGTGAATAAAAATTGAAAAATGTCCTCTACAGCTCCAGACCAGGTTTGGATTCATCACATTTTCTTATGAAACAGCAGTTTCCCTTAAATTCTTTAACAAACAATTTATTATGGGGTTCTGTACCCACACTGAAAACAGTGATTGGAGGGGGTCAATTTACAGTTCACTCTGTAGCAAGGTCATTCCACATTTTTTAGGTAAACCCATCATTAATCATTATACATTTAGAATGGCAAACACAAGCAGATATTCATTTGTGGCGCTCTTGTTTCTATTATGCTTCATTCTGTCTCTATCAATCATTTATCTTCTAAAGGCCCCTAGCATTTCATGTGTCAAGAGTTCACTGGAAGCTGAGGCACAGACATTACACATATGCTAATTGTCATTGTTTGGATGTGCATTTGCTTCCCTTTTTTTCTTTTATGTATACATAAAAGTTTGAATGTATACAGCATCATGCTAAACCTTTGAGATTTCAAAGATAATGCATAATTCACAGTGAAGTGCTGTTCTTTTGCATGATAAATTGATTGGGTAAGGTTTCTGTTATCTCTTACATGACATATGGGTTCATGGTGGAGGTTCTCTGTGCACTGAAGTGTCTCATTACAGTCTGCCATCACACAATGACTAGAATTAGAGACTATGATTAGGCGATTTATAGCTGATACATTGTAGTGTGAGATTTTAGCATAACATGTAGGTAATATTAAAACTAATATAATATTAAAATTGTATAATATAATAATTGATATCATATTTTTGTGGGGCAGATCATTAATAATGTGTAGAAGTGTGTGTATATTTTCAACTGAATTTATTTTTACTACAGTGTATCTAAATTCAGAGATGTGGCACAATTAACCTATTAACTTACATATTGTAACAATACTGTATGTGTATGTATACATTGTTAGTAAGTTAACTGTGCTATATACTGTACACCAGAAGTTTGGGTCAGTAAGTTTGGGTCAATACTTTTGATCAGCAAGGATACATTGATCAGTGACAGTAAAAAGATTTCTGTTTATCAAAGAAACTTTATTTTTTCAAAGAATCTAAAAATGGTTTGATAATAATAAGAAATAATTATTGAGCAGCAAATCAGTATATTAGAGTGATTTCTGAAGGATCATGAGACCGCACATGAATAATCATCATCACAGGAATAAATTACATTTTAAATATATTCAAATAGAAAACAGTTATTTTAAACTGTAATAATATTTGACATTATTACAGTATTTTAATCAAATAAATAAAAACATTAGAAAATCTTAGTGAACTGTAGTGTATGTGTTATATGTGACCCTGGAGCACAAAACCAGTCTTAGGTCGCTTGAGTATATTTGTAGCAATAGCCGAAAATACATTGTATGGGTCAAAATTGTTGATTTTTCTTTTATGCCAAAAATCATTAGGATATTAAGTAAAGATCATGTTCCATGAAGATATTTAGTTAATTTCATACTGTAAATATATCAAAACTTAATTTTTGATTAGTAATATGCATTGCTAAGAACTTCATTTGGACAACTTTAAATGCGATTTTCTCAATATTTAGATTTTTTTTTCACCCTCAGATTTCAGATTTTCAAATAGTTGTATCCCGGCCAAATATTGTCCTATCATAACAAACCATACATCAATGGGAAGCTTATTTATTCAGCTTTCAGGTGATGTATAAATCTCAATTTCGAAAAATTGACCCTTATGACTGGTTTTGTGGTCCATGGTTCATATGCCGCTTTTATGGGCAGGCCTGATGATATTGTAACTTTATATCTTTAAATTTAGTAATGTTTACTTTTTATATAGATTTAGTTTTGACAGCCTGCCCACAAGTTGGCCTGGTCAGAAAAAGTCCCATTGACTTTCATATGGCCAGTCCATCCCTGACCATTGGACAGGACTGTCCGCTTGCCTGTGAGCTCATCCCATTTCTTTTAACCGAGAGTGCTGAGTCATTCTCCATATCCCATGAGGCTTGACTCATGATGTCTCCTTCCTCACACACACATATACACATACTCACTGTTATAGCAGTCTAGAGTGAAATTTGTCAGAGATGATGC